CCAACAAGCATTCGACAGCATCTGATACGTCCCTTTTCATGAGCTCATCATTCCCAACTAGTGGTTTGGCATAAGTTATAAGACAAGGAGTTCCAGGAAAATCCTTCAGCTCCTCTGCCACATTGTAGTAAGTGCTCATGCTGTCAAAGGCTAATTTTACTGTCATCTCACTGACCTTGACTTTCTTTGCTGGTATGCTGTCACTGCTGGTGGCCGTATTCACTGCAAGATACATGCTTTGTATGCCTGAGCTCATTTGGACTGCTTGGTTCACTGGTAGATTAATTAATTTCTGAAACTGGCCCCGAACCATGTTTAATTTATTATTGTCTCCAAAACAATCATCAGCAAAAATCCTAATCGACTGATCAATATTTAACAGCTGACTGTAGTGTCTGCTGAGCTCTTCATTCAGATCTGAGACGCTCTTCAGGCTTATTCCACCTTCTGGCCGGTTTCTTCCTATATAGCCAAAGGAAAAAGACTTTCCGTCATCACTGTTGTGTTTATAACAGACAGCCGTCCAGATGTAAGGGGGCACCGTCACCCTTTCATTCATTCGTTCATTTGGATTTGCATTGGGTACTGTACCTGTGACAATGTAGGCTTTTGCAAAAGTGCCATCACTTATAAGCTTCTGTAATAATAATCCCCTCAGTGTGCTCTCCCATTTATACCAGTGGATACGGTTGAAACACGCGTCCATAGGTGCAGCGTTGGTCAGCGTACATGTCGCCTTACGGCCAATACCGCATTGGAAGCTGTTGGGGTTCAGGTGTCCACGATCATATCCAGTCTCACTGTAGTCGCTGCTGATGGCGTGATTTTCTTTTATGTTTGGAATATGTATAGTCTCACGGACCATATAATCAATATCAGATCCAGATGGGGAAATCTACAGAAGAAATGTTATGTTAAGTTTGATGTTTTATCATGTGTGAGAAAAGTCTGTTTTTCAGTTTCATGGGGGAAAGTTCTTTCTGCCTACTTGGTCATTTTTACTGTTTACTACTGTACAAGAGTGTTCCATAAAGTACCAGCCATTGAATGTATTTTATACATTATTTGCAATGACAAAACAGAATGAAGACTGCATTATGATTATTATTATTTTAATGAAATACAGAGCTTAAAATGCTAATGAAAGTCTTTTTGTAAGAAAGTGAAGCTCATAGTCACCTGTGGCTCGACGTGCCAGTTGTTGTTACAGGGTTTTCCAGGAAAGCTTTTGCATGCAGGGTCCAGTGTGTAGGCGCTGTAGAGGGGAAGCCTGTGAAGAACAGAGTACAGTGTAGCGTAATAAGTGCTTTTGGATCCTTCATTATTATACACCTGACAGATTTTTTTGGCATTCTGATCCATTCCTCCTGGTTCAGTGTCTTTGTAGAAGAAATTTCTACACTCATAAAAGCTCGTGACCACTTTTGCCTGAGCACTGAATGCTCTCAGCACAACACAGGTGAGCAGACCCAGAACAAACATGATGTGAAGCTGCTCTTGCGTTATAGAGCAGAGGCACCAGAAGCACGGCTGCTTTAAGTACACAGTCAGAGTCAGAGATGTTGTTGTGGGTGTGACTAAAGTTAACAAATGAGAAGAAATGAGGAATATGATTAGACCTTTGCTTCACTATGCTTATCAGATTAATTTTAGAACTCTCACGTAAAAAGAAAATGTGATTTCACAGAAAAAAAGAGATGTGAATGAATGAATGAGGTATTTAAACATCGCTTATGCTTTAAAAAGGGGGAGGAGACCGTAAGAAACTCTGGGTTTACCGAAGAAAACCTTCTCCCGGCCAGGTTAAGTTTATAGACTAAGTTACCACGGTGACTGACTCTGAGTACAAGTTACCTCTCTTTCAGAAACGGGCTTGACTTACCCTGCTTTCTCGGGTTTGACAAACCTCCCGTTCTGAAACGGAAAACCCAGATTCCCTCATTTCAGGGTTAACATACTCAGAGTTTTCACTTAACCTCCTCTCTGAATTGACCCTTGAAGTGGTGTGGATTACTTGTGGATTATTGTGATGTTTTTATCAGCTGTTTGGACTCTCATTCTGACGGCACCCATTCACTGCAGAGCATCCATTGCTGAGACACATTTCTCCAAATCTGTTCCAATTATGTCTGTAACTGTCGGTTTGAGACGACATCTGTGGATCTTTCTGGACGTTTGGATTTATCTGCTTCCTCTTTAATAGCAGATGATGATGGAGGCGTCTGCAGCAGTGAAAATGCGTCTGCTTTAAGTAAATATCAGATTACCTTTAAAAAGCTTTATCTTCATATTTTCTCTCCTCCGCTCACGTCTCATTTTATTCCCTCATGAAGGTCGGTCTGAAGACGGCGTGGTGATCACGTCAGCGGTCCAGAAGGACGATTCGGGGATCTACGACATTCAGACGTCACCTGTGATCTTAAATATGGAACCAAAGGATGACGAGGTTGTAACATTTACACCGAAAACCGTCTCATAAGTGTAACTTGTGCCTCAGAGATGCATCGATTCGCGAGCGTGTTCTCAGGGCAGAACTAACAGCTGCTGGATTACGTGAGAATAACACATTAAAAGCACGTCACTGAAACCATTTACTGCTATTATAAAGCGCCGACATGCAGGATTACACAGAAAAGATGCTTTATTTTAAGTGATACACATACACACTCATGCTTTAAAGAATATTAAGACACTATATCTTCATCCGTGCATCTCACAGTAAATGTCTACAGTATACTTCACCCCAAAACCAAAGAAAAAATATATACAGTATTGGAAATTAAGCCTGTTTAAGAAACATTTTCCTTTAGAGTTTTTGCATTGTGGCATTATTTTCATCACAGTCCAAGCACATTTCCATAGAAAAGTTCAATTATTAAATTTTTTTTTTTTCTTCATTATTTTCAGCAGTGATTTTAATAACTGTAATACAGTAATATCTCAGGAAAGCAGCTGGAACTCATTGTCATGAATGTTTTGGACACTAGTCCATTAAGCTGTTGACTGAATGTTTCTGAATGCAGTTTATTTTACAAATATAATGAATAATCAGGTTATCTTATTTGA